GGCAATATTTGGATGAAGAGGTCAGAGCTACTGCTGCAATGTGATTGAGTATGGGGAACTGTCAAGGTTTTTTGGAAATAGTCATGATTGACATTTGTTTTCTCTTCATGAATGAGTTTTTGGTTTTTTGACACTGCTACTTTCATAGGCAATTTCCACCACCTCTAAGAGGTGGAAATGTGGCCCTCCTCCTCGCTGTGTCTGAATTTTGCAGCCCTCCCTCGCCTCCCTGTTGGTCCTTTATCATTTGTATTCCCATATGGTTCCATTATTTGAGTTCAAGGCAGGAAGTAGAACCTGATTCAACATTTTCCTAAGTATTATTTTCACCACAGTGAATAAGGCCCTTTTTTGATCAGCAACCCACAGCTGGGCTGTGGTTCTCCCAGAACACATAGACTGAAAAGCTTCCTCCTGTGTTGATTACTTAGAATGACCTGGCCATGTGTCCACATGTACTTGTCTCATCTCTATTTGTCAGTGACAGTCACTGTTTCAATGCTGGTGGCAGAGAAAGCCAGCTGTGCCCAGGGAGCAAAAGAGGGCTTACTCATATAACATACTTCAACATTAAGGGGTGGTGTAAAATAAAGTAAGAGACTAACAAACACATATTTATTTTCATTAAAATACACTACCTTGAGATTTTTCTTTCTTTTTTTAAATAGCAAACGAAAGTTGTATTTTAAACAGATATGTAATTATTAACTGTTGGGTCATTTTCTTCCTGCAAATGAGCCTCGGCTGACTGTCACTCTATAAGGCTGATAATTATCTGAAGCAAAATAAATACAACTGTCTGGGTTAATGAAGACTGAAATAGGATAATGCCTGAACATTGAATTTTCCAAGAACAAAGAACCCAGTTGTTCTACAAAGAATAGACAAGACATGGGTACCTTGTACACAAGCACCTCATTATGATGGAGCCCTGAGGGACCACCACTGGACACCACTGGACTACCTTTGAGTTAAGGTGCTAAGGCTCATCCTGCTCCTCATCCCTGGGGACATTAGAACAGCAGTGGATACTGGAGTCCAAAACCCAATGAGGAACCCTCAGCTTTACCACTCAATAATTAAACAACAAGTGAGGCTCAGATTCCTACAGTGGAATGATGGTTGTTCATGCTGAATGTGATTTACCCAAGATAATAAACATGGCCCTGTGACACTGAAGTTCCAGACTAAAGAAGAGAGTTAGTTATCAAGGCTGAAAGGCTGTAGGAGATTGGCTTGAACTGAAAAAATAAAACAATTCAACACCTTTTCTTGTGTGCCTTAATTGGACAATTGTACGTGCTACTTCCTGAACATGTGGATGGATTATTTTTGTCTACTTTAGGGCATGAGGTAGGCCTATAAGAAAGTGTTTGAACTCTGCAGGTCTTTTAGGGGCCTGTAGTGCTCCAAAGGAAAAGGAGGGCTACAAGAGATAGTGCCTCAAGTTTAATCCACTTCAGGTTTCTGTGCTCAGCTAGAATGTTGGACAGTTGTTTAATTTCTCTGTTTCTTAAATTTTGCTCTTTTATTAGATGAGGATTATATCAGCCTTTCTGATCTTAAAGATCTCTATGAGAATGAAATATAAATATATGCATTTACAATTATCATTAAATTACAGCTTTGGTATAACTCCCGGGTGTTCTACTAGGCTTTATAATTTAGGCTTATTGTTTCTTTTAAACAAACTTTTCATTCTGGAATACTTTTAGATTTACTGAAAAGTTTCAAATATTATACAGAGTTCTCATATGACCTTCATCCAATTTTCCTAATGTTAACATCACATGTAACTATGGTCCATTGTATGCAAAAGCTAAAAACCAAATCCTGGCTTATTACTAGTAAGTAAACTAGACTTATTGAGATCTCACCAGTTTCTCTACTGAAATCATTTTATGCTCTGGGATTCAGTCCAGAACACAACACTGGAGTGAGTCACGGTATCTTCTCAGTCCCTTCTGATCTGTGATGGTTTTGTTCTGTCTTTTGTGCACTGCCAATTTTGAGGAGTACTTGTCAGGTATATTGTGTAGACCATTGGATGTGTTTTTCTATGATTAGTTATGGGTTTTAAGGGAGGAGGGAAGAGCTCTTCTTATCTCCTGACATCAGAGGTACATGCTCTGCACACGACATCCTGTCACTAGTGACAGTACACTTATTTCCTTGTTTAAAGTGCATCTACCATGTCTGTAAACTATTTCTACTTCCTGTACTCTATTCTTAAGTCCAACCCACACCCAGGGTGAAGGGGAGTTAAGAGCCAGCTCCTGGAGAAAGAAGTATCTACATATATTATTTGGAATTTTCGGTATAAAGGACTTGTCCCTACATTTATTTACTTGCTTAGTCATTTATCTGTAATATTGTGGACTTGTGTTGAATTATTCTACACTTTGAGTCATAACCCAGTACCACACTCTTTATTTTGTTATTCAGATTGTTACAGTTTTGACCACTAGGAATTTCTGTATGAGCACTTTCCTACCCCAAGAATTAGCTATTTTCCAAGAACCTTGGTTCCTTTTCTGTGCATATAGTATTTGAAACTAAGAACTGGTCACTGAATATACTTGCTGTTACTAGCTGTGGGTGGTTATTATTCAAATACATTCAAATAATGAAAGTATTTGGAGTAAAAAAGATGGGATGTTTCCTGGCTATGTTATCTTAGGCAAATTACTTTGCTGCACTGGGCCTCAATTTCCACATCGATGTGTAAGGATAATGAAAAACACACATAGATTCTCATGGGGTCATATGAAATAATATCAAAGAGATTTTCTGTTTCTGATAATTAATAGACATTTTTAAAACCAACTTTCCTATTGAAAACAACCAAAATATTTGGAGAAAAAAATGAGAAATATCTTCAAAGAACAAATGGTCTGACAAAACAAAAAGGTAAAAATTTAAAATGGGAATCTAGAGAAATAAGTAAGAAGACTATATTTTCCCTGGTGGCATCTATTTCCAGAAAATCTGAATTTTTTTTTTTTGATAACCTGATGATGGTTGAGGAGAAGTAGTTGGTGACGATAGCAAAAAACTAGTGCCAGCTCAAGGCAAGAAATTTACCAGGAGACCTTTGCATTGGCAAGCTAAGGTGTCAAACGGCTATAGTGCTTGGGAGGATAAAGAAACTCTTACCCTTACTTTAAGTATGTGAGTCTTTGAAGAAACCTCAAGCTCTGAATTTGGGTTAATATGGGTCTCAATCCAAGAGGTCCTTCAGGGGCCTTGTAAGGGGAGTAATCTCAATTTTACGAACCTTACATATCTTAAAAAACAATGAGCAGCACACAATAAAAAATAAGTAGATACAATGGAGAAGCAATAGACAAAAGAAATAAACATACAAACACAAGATATTGGAATTACTAGCTACAGACTATAAAAATTATGTTTCAGTGTGTAAAGAAATAAAAGGCAAGATGGAATCACCTTAGGGAAATAGAAAATGGAACTATTATGGACAATATAAAATAAAAAGAATTTTTTTTTTTGGTACAGGGGATTGAACTTGGGTCCTTGCGCTTGCAAGGCAGGTGGCGGAACCACTGAGCTAAATCCCTGGCCCATAAAAAGAATTTTTAAAGTCAAAATTCCAGCAATTGGGACTTAAAAATTTGGAGACTGAGTTAACCAGTATGTTAAATAAAGGAAGATCAATAAACCTGAAGAAATATCATGGGAAAACAAATCACTTTCAGTGATACTGGGCATTCCAAGTCTCTGTTATGTATCTCTCCCAAGCATGTTCCTGTTTAGCATCTTCTATTGACCAGAAGTCCCAGACATTTTAGTAAAGAAAAACTGCTAATAATTTCTTAGAGCTTTGAGATCCTTGCGAAGGAGTGTGGTGCAAATGGGAAAAGAAGGATTTATGCCAGCTCTCCTAATCTCCCATCTTACAGAACAATAGAAAAGCCCAGAAAGGGGGTGAATGCCAAGTTAGCAGCTCAGCAATATGACCAAAAAGACTCTAAACCATTCCTTTAGGCCTGAGAAACTCTGTTCTAACCCTACAGGTAGAGCTTATTCTGAAGAGGCTGGCTCCTTCCCACTATCTCCCAGGCTGCCATGAGGACCCAGAGAATGATAACTGTGGAAATCATGTTGCATCTTCCACTGTCTCCATCTTAGAAGCCAGACATTATGCAACACATTTCGCTACCCTGTGACTACTGTAACATGAGGAAACTCAAGTGAGCCATAAGGAAAAGATGGTGGCTCAGCAGTCCCCATTTGTTCCTGCATCCCAGCTGGTGTGGCAGCCTCGAGAGTGAAGAAGTCATCTCAGACACTTAGCTCCAGCAGACTGCACATGAAGCAGGAGAACTATGTAGTTGAATCCCCTCTAGATTGGAGAACTGTGAGAAATGAAAAATGGTGGTTGTTTTAAGCCATAAGTTTTGGGATCACTTGTGACATAACAACATGTGGCTGAAACAACATAACGTGTACTTTTATCCATAATCTCAGTTTTCTGCACTGGAATAGAATGAGCTCCCTTGAATGAAGAAACCTGAAGAGCTTTCAAAGACAGCCTGCAGAGAGAAGGTACTGAGAAGTGTGTTTTGATGATTATGCTATTTTACATTCTTTTTCTTTGCAGTAGCATTTAAGTGGTTATACTCCGGCCCTACCTTCATTTTCGGGTGCTCAGTAGCTCTCATACCACAAGTCTTTTTCTGGATATGAAAAATAAGTGTATAGATTTTCTTACAAGTAGAAAAATGATCATTAATAATTTCTTTTTGACAAGATAAGCAAAAAAAATTCTGATTTTCATGTCAGAAAGTTCATGTACTGTTGAGTCTTTTCCTTGTCACTTAAACTGGAGCATAATATGATCATGGCAGGCAATAAAAACATATACGTGAAGTCTGAGCCATAAAAATCCACAGAGTGGAAACTGATAAAAGGTTAATAGGACTGTTTTCTAGAAAAGCAAAGAGCTAATAACTGATGGATGGAGGGTTCTTCTGTACCTCAGGGCTCCTTATCTGACTCCTGATCCTCATGCTGGTCATGGAATCAGGTATTTATGCTCTAAAAACCAGGCCCACTCCTGGAACACCAGCTTGATTCCATACAACAGACAAAAATAAAAGGTGTAGAAAAATAAAGAACTGGACAAATATGTTAGAAAGCTCAGAATAGAAGGGGGAAAGAGGAAACATCGTGTCACATTTTATAAAATCATGTAATACTTCTTAACTCATCACCAGTCTTACTTTAGCTATAACCTCATCCTGTACTCCCCCACCCTAGGTTACCCACACAGAAAATCTATTAAAAGTACACGTAGTTCTGTTTGCTTCCCTTCTCTATTTGTGAAAGACTGCTCTAAATGTACTTTCTGAATACTATCATCTTGATGTTTTCCATTGAGCATGGTTTGATTGAACGCTCACAAAAATAGCATTCCTCATTTACATTTTGTTTCAATACATTTTTCCTGTTACATTTCTGAAACCCACACACAGAGCTCCTCAGTGACATCATGGGCAGCTACCGAGCAGCAATAAGTGAAGTTTTCCTCTGGAAAGAAGTGACTTTTTATTTAACTATGTAACCATCTAACTTTTAATATTCTATAATGCCATATCATACTAAAGTAGGGGCCACTGTGTGATGGACCTTCATGTCTCCATCCCCAGTTCCTATAGATGCCAATTCATTGCTACCTAGTCCCATCTCTACTCCCAAATGGTCCCCTTTCTCTATTATTGTGAATTAAACCTCACTCCCGTGATGTCATTTACAAACATCTCACTGCATATCTCTGAGAGATAATGACCCTTTAGAAGTAACATGCTTTTGACATCAAACCAAAGAACAACAAAATTCTGAGTCAGCTGGAAATGATCTTCACATTGGAAGACAAGCTGTCTTCAATGGATTGCCCAACTCTGAAGTTATTCAGTGTCTTAAATTCTTTCTTGAGGTTCTGGGACATCCTTAGAATAGAAATCTTAGGAAGAGTTTCGACTACTCAGTCTTTCAAGAAGGGTCATAATGTGATTTAGCAAGATATTTATGACTTGAACTTCTCAAAGTCAGGGATGTAGTTACTTGGCCAATATAAATAAGCTTCCTCTCCCTCCTCCTCCTTCTCCTCCTCCTCCTCTTTTTCCTCCCCCATTCCTCCTCCCCTCCCCCTCCTCTTCTTCCTGACTGAAGCTAGAGCCTTCTCATGTGCATATATCTTCAGCCTTTTAAAAATGTTTTACAGATATTTTGAGGCAGGTTCTTGCTAAGTTGCTAAGTTGCTCAGGCTGGGCTTGAACTTGTGATCCTCCCATTTCAGTCTCCTAGAGTGCTGGCATTACAGGCATGTGCCACCATGCTTGGCTTCCTTAGAAATTACTGAGTTCAACTTCTCACTCAGTACAGAATTCTGCATCACTCAGGGGTCAGCCAAGAAACATGGCAAATTCACATTAGGATAATTCAGGAAGAGTTTAATAGTTTTTTTAAAAGAAGAGTAAGGACAATATGTTGGTAACCATAATAGAAAGAGCATTACTTCAGAGCTGGTAAATGGAGTTTTGCCACCTCTAGGTGTGGAGAGACAGAAAGACAGTCAGTGGCTACTGGATCCTGGAAGGGAGACTGATGTAAACAGGGACCCTTGAAGAGGATTGTGACCTCCCAGTCAAGGGATTACAAAAATCCCAAGCTAACTCCACAGGGAGGTAAGCTAAGGACAGGGATGTCCTGATTACACCTTCCTCCTCCTCACCAATTGTTAACTCTTATTTAAACCTCACTGAATCCAGAGGGCAAGGATTCTGCCATGGTTTTAATGTGTGCCCTAAAAGTTAATGTGCTGGAAACTTAATTCCCAAATGCATATGTTAATAGGCTTGGCATGTAGGAATTTGAGAGAAAATTAGGGTTAAGTGAGATCATGCGGGTGAGACTCCCATGATGGGGGAGACCTCAGTGAATGCACTTGCTCTGCCTTGCCACATGATACCCTCTGTAGCAAGAAGATCCTCACTAGATGCCACACCATGCTCTAGACTTCCAGCCACCAGGACCACAGAGAACCAAACAAACATCTGTCTAGGCTCAGTATTTTATTATAGAAATGGAAAACAGGCTAAGAGGGATTCCGCTGATGCACACTGTATAGGCAAACTTCCTAGCTATACACCCAGGTACCGAAGGATGGAGAGCAGAGATGGAGAGGCAAATGGAACAGAAACATCATAAGCTGCATTTCTAATACTCACAACACATGGTCATTCAGCCTGCTGTCCAGTCCTATTTGATTCAAGACAAAGTCCACTGATAGCAGAGCTCCTGATAAACCACTGCCTGCCCATGTGGTTGCCAGACAGTACCAGGTTGCTGGCTTTACCACACTTCCTTTTCTCTTGTGCTTTCTTTGGATTCTTGAATTGCTTTCAGGTTGACAGTTTGGGCTCTGTGTACCTGATGATCAGGATCACATTTGTGGCTTTAAATTTTTGCTTTTCTTCATTGAACACAGTTGAGACTTTCCTGAGGCTGCCTTGTTAGCTTGTCCGGGTAAATGAGTCCAGTTGTTGATGGCTACAAGAACAACACATGTAGGTGAAGATACCATGAGGCCAGCCTCAGTCTCTAAAAAAGAACCTAAAATTTCTTCATTTGTGTTCAGTTCTCTAGTGAGCCTAACTTCTGGAAGAGTCATTTCTATCAAACCAGTTTTTTTTTTCAGCTTTAATTGAGTTTATTGGTACATTTTAGGGATACCGCACAGTTACATTCATTGTTGGAATCTTGTACCTCTACATGACAGGTCTTGGTTCTCACTTTTTCCCCTTGTCCCTGCCTCCCTTCACCCGCTCCTCCCCTCCCCATCTACAAACACTTTATTTCCATCTTTTCATTATCTCACATTTTTTTCTTTCCCCTTATTACCCTTCCCCTATTCATCCCACCTTCCCTATACCTTTAGCTCCTTTCTTCCCATTTCTAAATGTCAGTAATCTTATTAGGATTTTCTGTATTATTGCAGATTATTCACACCGGAGAAGCTATTTGGTATTTACACATGTGTGCCTTATTTATTTCACTTAGGAGTATATCTTCAATATGTATCCATTTTCCTATGAATGAATCTATTTTCTCATTCTTTATAAATGAGAAATGCAAAATGAAGTTATAAATTAGCTCTGTGAGGAAAGAGATTCTGTCCTGCTCAACTCTGTGCTCCTGGCATCTGGCAAAAGAGCTAACACACCAGAAGAGATTGGCCAAAGCCCAATTTCCTATAATTCACAGTTATTGATCCTATAACTTCTACTGCCTAAGTAACAAATTTGGAGTTTATCAAAGCTTCTATATAACAGACCTTAAAAATTTAAACAATTTTAAAAGTATTCCACATGGCCTCCAGGATGATCAGCCTTGAAAGATTGTTGCCTTCCAGTTACCGCACAGTCTCAGCTCTTGTGTCACCTGGGGGTTGGTGGCTTCTTCAAGGTGTCTCCAAGAAGTAAACGCAATATCCAGACACTGTCTCATCCCTGTGGCATCTGCAGCTCTGTCACTAACCTAAATTTGAACTCTATGCTTTTATATGCAAAGTAAGGTGGAATTTGCTTTTATAGCAACCACATAATATTGTTAAATAAATGACTAAATGGATATTATACACAATTGGTTCATACCAAACATCTGCTCATTTGACACTCCAACTAAGATCTCCCCTCAAACTGTTTTCTTTTTCTTTTTGGTACCAGGGATTGAATTCAGCTCCTTGTACTTGCGAGGCAGGTGGCGGAACCACTGAGATAAATCCCCAGCCCCCCTCAAACTGTTTTTAACAAAGTACATATCCCTAAGGGAATGACTGTAAATTTGTTCTTTTAAAGTCATTTTGCTGACATGACCTATTTTGAACCCTTCAAAATCTCTGTAAAACTTGGTTCAGTCATAGGATATGTTGTGTTAATCATAAATTTGTTAAATCTTGCTTATCACACCATAGGACCTACATTTTCAGAATTTAATAAACAGATAACTTTTGAAATATATGAGCTATGGTCTCTGATTTTGGATAACACAGAGAGATGACTTCCCTGATTTGTTTTATTGAATGCAGCCATAATCTCTGGAAAACAAACATGGAGAAGCTGCTTGAGGACTCTTAAAAATAGAGGCAAGCAGATTGGGGGAGAAGATCAGACAGAATTCAAAGTAATGCGAAACTAATGGTAAATTTAACTTTTTCCCTCTAGTGCTCTTGTCTCCAGAGACATGTGTAGCAGAGCAGGATAACTAAACTCCAGGTTTGAAGCTAGAGGATGACAAAAAGGGAACCTCAGAGAACCAGACAGTGCCTAGGAGGGAGGTCATGGAGAAGAAAGGGTTGGGAAAGCAGCCATATGAAGTATTTTGTAGTCTTCTGAGCTCAGACCCAGTATGGGTCTGATGTATGGATTTGATGCTAAATAGCAACTGAAAGACTGAAAACTGACCTCACAGACAGATGAAAACACATGTGTCAGACTTGCCAGTGAGTGCTGCTTATGTGGGACAAATCTGAATGGTGCTGCAAAGCACTGAAGACTAAACTAGCAATGGAATCTGTTACGATTTGGATCTAAAATGTCCTCCAAAAGTTTCATGTGTTCAGAAGTGGAGCTCTCAGAAGGTGGTTGGATCGTGAGGGCTGTAGCTGTGTCCATGGGTTACTCTCCTGATGAGACCATATTCTGATGGAATTATTGGGAGATGATGGAAATTTAGGAGGTAGGGCCTAGTTGAAGATTGTTGGGGTATGACCTCAGGAGGTATTGTTTCCTGGCCCCTTCTTCTCAGCTTTTTCCATCTCTCTCTGTTTTCTGGCTGTCATGAGGTGAGCAGCCCTCCTCCGCCATACCCCTCCTCCACCACACTGTCTCAGCACTTGAAGCAGCAGAGCCAAGTGAGCATGGACTGATCCCTCTAAAACCATGAGTCAAAATAAGTCTTTCCTCCTTTAAGTTGTTTATGTCTGGTATTTCGTTAGAGATGGAAAGCTGACCAGTACAGAATCTTACCACTCCTATGAATGGAAAGTGTTGAAATGTGCAGCCCAAACACAACCCGGCACATTGCTGCTAAGACAAAAAGGTTAACATTCTCCATA